AAGTGCACAAAAATGACAATTTTCCTGATTTCATTTGCTTTACAATTTCCTGATTTATTCAGATTTTTCATTCACTGGGCGTCACCTATGTCTGCGAAAAAATAAATATGTATAAAAAGTTGAAAAATTTGAGACCGTTATAACAGAGGGAAAGAGGCAGGGTGTGTTATCTTTTGCAAGAATGAGCTGCCGTGTCTTCCTGCGCTTAATGTCACATATAAATTTTTTCCTTTATAATTTAATCTCGCACATACTTATATACATACACACACATAAAAATACAGAATGAAACGATGCATGGCTGCGTACGTGCATATATCGCTTGAATTTCAAGTGCTTCAGCTTTTGCATGCGTATGCATATGTTTACGGGGAAGGGCGTTCCATACCAAAATGGACGGAGTTCACACTTCATGACTTTGATTTGTCTCAAATTGTTAGGGTTGATGTAGATAAACATAGATAATAAATAAATATGAATTTTGAGCTTGATTGATATATTTTTAAAAACTTTACAGCACAAAAGCAAAAACAAATCGATTTAAAAGTTTTCCAAATATCTCGAAAACAGGGTGAGGAAAAAATTCAAAAAAAATCACACGAATGTGTGTGATCAATATTCTCTATGAAAAGAAATATTAAAAAATTTTTTCCTTAAAAAACTTTTCACCTCATATATGTAATACTCCTATATTGGCAGTAAGAGCTAGTACCGTCAGAAAGCACTACAGTACAGATGTATCAATAAACACGTACGAAAGAAAAGAAACACATACGTTTATAAATAAACATGTACACAACACATATACAAAAACGGCACTCAAGTACACAATACATTGACAAAAACGGTACTAGACTGTCTCGCTTTGATTTCGGAATGCTTACACGTTGAGAAGTTAGCTTACTGCCAATATAGAAGTATTACATATATGTTTCACACACATATTTTTTTATGAAAAAAATTAGTTTTTAAAATATGCCACCACGAAAGAAAATTTAACAAATTATTATCGTAGCTATGGTAACTAATTTATTTTATCAAATTATCTCTATGTATTTTCAAGATAAAAAAAATTTAATTTTTATTTTCATAGAGAATTTTGATGTGTGTATGTATGATTTTTTTCAAATTTTTTCCTCGTCCCATTCTCGAGATATTTGGAAAACTATTAAATCGATTTTTTATACCCGAGCGCACTTGTGCACAAGGGTATATTAATTTTGTTCACATAACGGTTGTTTGTAACAGCCAAAACGAATCGAGATAGATATAGACAAATGTATACATAAATGATCAGGATGAAAAAAAAAATCGATTAAGCCATGTCTGTCTGTCCGTCCGTCTGTCAGTCTGTCCGTCTGTCCGTCCGTCCGTGTACACGATAACTCGAGCAAAAATTGAGATATCTTATCGAAACTTGGTACGTGGACTTCTTTTAGGCGTAGGACGGATGGTATTGAAAATGGGCGAAATCGAACAATAACCACGCCTACCTCCCATATAACGGTAATTTTCAGAAATACGAAAACTGCGATATTTTAGTAACTACTAAAGATAATTCACTCAAAATTGATATTTACAATGAGTTTTAGACGAAAAATAAGAATATTATAGATTTTTGGAAAATGGGCGTAGCCACGCCCACTTATGGTTACATGCGAATAGCTTGGTAACCGCTGCACCAATTTCTTCCAAACTTGGCACAGTTGTTGGTCCTGGTACAAAATACCAAATGGCCGAAAACTTTTAAAATCGGACAATAACCACGCCCACATCCCATATAACGGTAATTTAGAAAAATACGAAATCCTCGATAAATCAGTAAATATTAAAGCTAATTTTTTCAAAATTGATGGGTGCAACAATTCTTAACAAAGAAATATGTTTGTGATAAAATTTCGGAAAATGGGCGTGGCACCGCCCCCTTATGATCACATATATGTGTCTCGGTAACCGTTCTACCAATTTGTATCAAACTCGGTGTGGTTATTGTGCTTGCCACACAAAAGAAAAACGTTGAAAATTATTGAAATCGGACTAAAATTACGGCCGCTTTTCATATAACGGTAAATTTCAGAAATGCTTGAAACTGCAATATTTCGAAATTGAAGGATGCTAATTTACTCAAAATTGATACACCCCGGCTTACCATCTAGCGGTAGGTTTCAGAAAGGTGAAAAAACATATATTTAATACTTGCGCTGGGTATTTAATGTTCGGCTCCGCCCGAACTTAGACTTTCTTACTTGGTTTTGTTTGCTCTTTATTATACTAGAATTTATTAAGCTATAAAACTGCATACCAAAAATTATTCTAGAAATTAATTTTTATAATTTTTTACCAAGTCTGAAATTTTAATTTATATGGTATATATTTGCTAGATAAAAAGCTATGCTTCAAAACTGTTAAAAATGTTGATGTGCTATCTTTTGCCGCTGGGTGTATCTTTGACCTTTGATCATTATTTATAGAATTTTGGGGTTAGATTAGGTTTTATTGGGCTAGCTAGCCACCGTGAGTAGTCACAGAGACCAAACTACGACCAAATTTTATACTCCGGAATCATGGAAAATATTTAAGATCATCGAAGCATTATTTGCAAACTGGAACAATTTATTATATCCCATTAAAGGATGAACACCTTCAAAAGATGTGGTCATAGCCCACTTGTGTGAAGCTGTTTTAGAAATTTGAGGTAATAGCAAAAATATTGTGCTCTAAAAACAAACTGTGTGAATACGACAAGTTTTGGTCAATCAAAGTTCGTAGTGCTCAAAAAATAGAAATTAATTAATACATACATTTTTTCACTACGATTGCAAGTTTCTTCGAAGATATTAGTCCTACATAATGTGGTATAAGGACCTTTTTTGTAGAGAATCGAAGTAAGCTAAGAATACATTTTTTTAGCACTTGAACTTTGATGGACTTGGGCCAGTCTAAGACATTGAGTTTATAGCATTATGAACCATATTTATGCTTTTACCCATCGAAATTCTAAAGAATCGGATTTTCGGCCCACGCTTTTTATACACCATATAGTAGCCAAGGGATATAAGGAGCATTTTAAAATTGCCATTTAAGCCTTCCTACATCGTCCATTATAAATTCCTCAAAAAAAAACAAAGAAGTATCATTTTATGGTGTCATGGACTCGAAAATAGGTCAGAATATGACCGAATGATTCAAGTTCCAAGGAAGCTTATTATTTTGAATGTGTTTCCAAGTTTTTAAAAGTTTGCATGCAGATCTTTAAAGTCCACATTCCGATATCAGAGTTCTGGAGATTATAGAATTTTATTTTTAAAGTACTTAGCTCAGCATATATATTTTTGTGGGAACCACAGAAAATTCCTACCTCTATGGACCACTTGAAAAAACAGCAACGTTATTTTAAGAGCCACCCTAACTTAGGCATAAGTGTATGTATATATGTATATGTGTGCATTTATATGATTCTTAGCGGTCCTATCCAACTTTTTCTTACCTCAATCAGTTTTAATTCATTTTATATGCTTTATTCTTCCATGTCTTTGCATTGCCAACACACACACACACACGCGCGTCCAGATATGACCTGTTAGCTGGTGTTACACGTGCCGAAGCATTTTTCTCCTTCAATTCCGGCGACGTACAGTATGGTATTGAGGCGGATCGTCGTTCGAAAATACTGAAAGCCTATGTACGAAATACATACACGTACCATCTGAATGAAATATTCGCGACGATTGTTAATGAGTACACGGATTGGGAGCGACCGGTACAGCATCCAATTAATATACGGTAAGCGTTTTAAATATGTAAATATATTTGTATGGATGTATGTATATATATAGGTATGCATGTACAGACAAAAGGGCAACAAGCTTTACACAAAGTAAGACATACCCACATACGTAGGTAAAATGGTAAAACGAAGGTAAGCAGACTTGTCTGTGAGTTATGCAAGATGTGAAAAAGCGTAAAACGGCATTAATGTAATGTAATTCTTCTTAGCATACTATATTCATATACATATGTATATGTGTATGTATGAAAGTAAGGGGATTTGTAAAGTAAAATCATCGTAAATCTTTTGAGTATAAAAATGTTGGATTATGAAAAGCGAGATAATGAGACGGTGAACCGTTTTAATGTCTTTAAATTTTTTTTTACATTTTTTATTTAATATACACACTGTATATTTCATTATAAATGTGGCTTGCAATACTAAAAGTTCATCGTAAACGTTATACGTTTGTGCATCTTTATTGAATCACTCAATCATAACTTGATGACTTTTAAGCTGTCTCTTTTATGCCTTCGTCACTGAAGATATGTGCAGCACAAGAATATGCAAAATATTTTTTAACTGATTTTACGGCATTTATTAGATTTTTTCAGTTGAAACCTTTATACATTTCTGCTAACAACAAAAGCACGTCGCAAAGCCCGTATCACGAAATTCCAATGGGATGAAAGCAACTACGTTTTAGAAAAAGCACTTATCTCGTTTAAGGCTTTCAATTTACTGGGGCCTCTTTTCTTTTAAAAACTAACAAAATGTTTGTTTGTATGTCCTTTAAAAGAAGCATTGCTCGAGGGAGGCTATCGATCTTTCAGCACAATTATTTCTGAGTACTTTGTATGTGTTGATATTAGCAAGACTATAAAATTCTGTAAATTGTTGTAAGGATTAGGAAAAGCTATTTTTAACTCTGGCAAAGTAGTGTATCTTGGGCTGATTCTTGACAGAAAGATATAGTGGATATTCAAAGGGTTTGAAAGTCAGCAGTTCCTTAAGCTAGAGTATTAACAAAAAGCAATGTAAAGCCAATAAAGTGGTTTCCAGTTGTCGGCAGGAGAGGATCTCTAAATAAGACTATTATTGTTAAGTAGTTGAAACGCGTTGTGTCCAAATTGATTACTCCCCTTTCAAGGGAAATAGAGAGAGAGAGAGATAGATTGAGGGGTTGTGACACGTGAAAGCTGGTCCAGGTAAACCCATTAACGTATGACTCAATTGGACACTCAGATTATTTTCCTTAAAACGTATTTGTAGATATGGCTCTATTCCATCTAATATGCTAAGTGAGCAGCGAAAATGGTATACCGGAATTTTTTTGATACCACACAATCGGTAACTGCTAAGCTATGTATATCAGTATACCAGAATTTATGATAGCGGCTAGCGGCTGCGGTACACCTTTGGGAAAAAGACCTTGCCCACACGATATTCATCATTCCATGAATAGTCAAAGCTTATTTCAATCTTCCTCTTTTTGTTGAGACCAACTCGAGGGTACCTCTTGGGCAAACAATTTCCTATACCTTTATGGCTTAGTGCCCATAAAAGTCTGACTAACAAGAAATAAGATGCAACTGAAATAGAGGTAAAGTATTACCCACTAATTTTAAAAGCCCTGTGAGCGTGGTTTGGTTATTAAAGTTGAGATATATCGTTTTGACTTGCCGACGCCGCCCAGTTTAGCCACCTATCGATTGCCAATCCATGTAGAAATTCATGCGTGTCTTTTTCCAACTACTTCCTGCCCCGTCCACTAACTTCTCCAAGCATTGTTAGTGTAGAAAGAGCTTGTTTAGATCCACTCCAGTTAGTAAAGCCCTCCAGCAATAAAATATGGTCAAAATACAAGCCTGCAACTGTTTAAAATACGGTATTTTCCCACCAGCGTTTTTTTCTCTAGTCTAGTTCACCATGGGAAAAGCCAAAGAAATAAAAATAAATATTATTTATTCAACTATAGATTCAAAGCGCCAGGATATAACTTTAGTAGAGCGATACTTTTCATTAACTAAATGCCCCCTAAATCTGTAAAAAGTCATTAATACACATAGACATTTGCATTATAAGTTTGTATTGCGAATGAAGAAAAAAATTCAAACATCAAGGCCTGTCTGCTGCCCTCAAGAAAAACGAAAAATACATATAAAATGAGGCACAAGAAATAGTAAAGAAATTTTCTTCTATCTAGAAAAAAAGGCTCATACATTTAAATACTTCTTCAAGAGAATTTAGAGCAACAGCAAAGCACTTTTTCAAGAAACAGAAATACTGAACAACATTTCTTCTGATTTTTCTTGTGAACTGCGGATAACCCTTTAACGATGATAGCCGATCGTATTTATTCATTGTTTCGTATGGCCAAATTAAAATGTGCAATATTTTTTAGCAGGAAATAAATAATGTTACTCATACGCCATGTACGAGTACAGCCATGTAAGCCAGGCGTATGAGTAAGATTATTTCTTGATCCTATTTCATACAAAATACGAATGCACCTTTTTATTTGACTACTCAAAACGATGGATTAATAACGTCACTTCCCATTTATCCTTAGGGTCATTTTTGATCCTGAGAAACTTAACGGTTTTTTGGATTAAACAAAATGTTTGGAGCTGATTTATTGATAATTGTTTAGTATTTGTCATTTTTATTCACATTTAACACATATTACAGGTTTATCGCGGCGTTGCTTCGACAAAGACTTATTCCACCCAAAACCCAATTAAAATTTAATGTCGCTCCATTATGTGAAAATAGCGTCCTTTGTGACCCTTGGGTCCAATTGGTAACAATAGCCAAAAAATATTTCAATTACAATGTAAAATTCCATGTTAAACAAAATATTATTTTTTAGTTAAATAAAGTAAAAGAAAATTGTATTTATGAGACCTAAGGCATGTGAGAAAATCGGATTCAAAATTTAAAAAGGGTAAATTTTGACCTTAAGGACTAATAAGGGTTAAGGGGCCATCAATTACTTTATAAATGGCATTGCCTGGATTGAGCTATTTTCCAAATTTCCAACTGCGATGCTGTCGAATTCAGAAGAAGAATTAGAAGCCGACAAAACAAGTGGCTTAAACTGGGACACGTCGACATAAAAGAAATCTGCTATAAAAACACGTCGGACATAGGCCACGACGATTGTATTGAGTTTTATATGTAGTGAAATTGTTTTGTGGCCCAACGGAAACATTTTAGTTTTTCATATATATTTTCTCTAGTTGTAACGAAAATTTAAACACCTAGTCTAGAACTCCAAATATCACTAGTGTCGTTCCGCGAATGTTTTCCAAAAATGTTGTGCCCGCTAAAGGGTTAAGAACTATTGCTGGATGCATAAAAATACCACAACTAAAGCCGACGAAAGATATACAATGTAACGCGCTGAACAACTAGCAGCAAACCTTGTTAACTGTGGTCAACATATAAAACAGAAAAAAATTATATCTCACTTGCTACGTTAATATTATACTTATAGTTGTGTTTGCATTTTTTTTACTAAAATTCCCGGAATTCAAATACAAAAAAAAACAAAAACTCCATGTAAAAATATTCAGTAAAAGCCACTTGCCTGATAACAAAAACGAGGTAATTAATTTAAAATTGTCGCTTGCATGTCAGTTACTCATTTGACACAATGCATTATTGGTGAGTTGTCGGTTTCCTAGTTGACCTTCACCAAGCATTGTATCAAATTTTTGAACAGAAAACCGCCAACTGTGTATAACAAAATTTGCAAACTATACAGACAGAGCGTTTATTTTTATACACCTAAATAAAGTTGTACACATCTGCACATACATATGTATGTATTTGCATAGCTATGTATGTAAATAATACAAAAAATTAGTTTTGTAATAAAGTATCGACTACTGATAACAAAATTACATTGATTGAATTGCATCAGTAATTCTCTGAAGCCGTCTAAAAACTCGTATTAAAACAAATTGCTACTGATAATTCAAAACCTATTTGTCGCTTCCAATTTGTTATCCACTGGAAAACATCAAATAACATTGCAGTAAATCTATTTATTTAAATGAATTTTTTTCTGCGTAACAACACAATTTTCGGCGGCCAACCATTGGCTTTCGAAAATGTATCATAGGTTACAAACATAAAAATACCAATTTAAATGCATGCGCGAAATAAATCTGTTTGAATAATGTATTTAAATGAGATGAACTGAATAAATTTGATAACCGGAAGGCAAGATAAAAAAAATAAATAAATTAAAAAAATCATTTTATATCAAACTTACATGGAATTACTGAAATCCCAACTGGAAATTAATATAAGTTATAGTATCGATACTAGCTCTGATAAGAAACCTGAGGCAAATTATTTAGATGGAAGGCCAACATTCCTTCTGTCCAGCAACGCGTTATTGTGGGATGCTTCATACAAATTGGATGGACATTTCTAATAACTGCTTTAAACAAGTAAGTTAGAAAAATAGTGGCCGCCTGGCGGAGCATTTTCAATAAGTGACCTTTAGTTAGATCATAGCCTTTCTTTGGTTTAAGATTACTAACTGCTATTTTTACTTCAGCTTTGACGAGTTTTTTTACGGGTGAATTAATTCACCGCCCACTGTAGCGTTGATTTCATTTGTTATACCGACAGGGGGTTCTATACATGATACAAAAATAGGAAGGTAGAACCGCTGAGAGGAATTTTTCATATTCTTGACGTTTGCAAGCATTTTAATTTTAAAATTTTACGCACAAACTCACACACACATTCTTATTTTCAATCTCAAACAAAAACAACTTTGAACAATTCTTTTTTTCTACTCTCAATTTTATATGATTTTAAAATGTTGGCAAACTTCAAAAAAAAAAATCATGGCCGACGAATTGAGAGAACGGTTTTACCTTACTATGTTTTTATCATGGTTCTATATATGTTTTTTGGGATAGGAACAGATTTTAAGTATATGGAAAAAGTGGTTGTTTTTTTAAACCGCTTTTAGCCCAGTTATTAGTGTCAATTAGGGCGGGCCAAATAGGCATCTGAAAAACTGTAATTTTATACCGAAAAAATATAGTCCCCTTTTTTATTTTGAAATCAAAAGAATAATTAGAGGATGCTCAAAGTTGTCCATGTATTTTATAAGTTGTATGGTATACAAGTAGAATACTTGGAAATCAATGTTTTTTGATCAGAACAACCTATTTCTCTTTAGAAGACTCCCCATAATATTACTCCATTGTTCACTTAACCATTTTTTGATAGCAACTAGATTTTGTAGGTCCCCCAGAAAACCTGAAAATGCATTGGGGACCCATAAACAATTTTTAGTATTAAAAAATAGTTAAATAAAATTTTAGATATTATTATTGGAAGACTTCTGAAGAGAACCGATCGAAAAAATTGATTTTCAAGAATTCAATACCATTTGAAATGCTATACATGCCAAATTTTTTCTGAGCGCTTTGAGCAACCTCTAAAAATTATTTGATTTCACAATAAAAAATATGGGTAAATTTGTTTTCGGTATGGGAAAATCGTAGGGGGTGAGAGCATTCAAATTGAGAACAAAATTTTTTTTTTTACCACTCTAATGTCCATTCTTAGGGCAGATTGAGTTAGCATTCGCCTCCCAAACTTACTTGCTACCTTCCATGGAGAGTAACCAGTTGCTGCAGTTGCATGAATACTGTTAAGATAATTGTATATTCAATGATTCGCCGTAACTCTAAAAACGATGACCTCATATCATGGTTGTACTTTGACCCTAAATCTTTGTTATTTAGTTTAATGCAATCACAAAGTGTTCAGGGCATATCTAATTTTAACAACTTTTTAATTAACTTTAATTTTAACATATATGTCATAAGTGTGTATTCATATAAATTGGTTACCTTTGAAATATCCGGTATGATTTAATGTTGGACACAAGCGCAGCAGATGCAGCACTTTGTGGATATACCAAATACTTATGTAGCTCAAAAATGTTATAATTCACATAATTTGTTAAAATATTCCGAAATTTTGCTCTTTACCACGTACATAATTGTCGTCAATCGAAAATATGCCTCAACCTGTGTGCCACGTAGCTACGGAATTTTGTATTAATACATTTTTGTATACGAAGAACAATACATAAAAGCTGATTTAATTAAAATGCAAATTTGATTAACACACGACATACAACTACACAACTGAAACTGTAAAATTGCACATACATATGTACACATACATATGTACACATGTATATCCCTACACAATGTATGAATAATAAAATTTAACGCCTATGGCTCATATCGGAGTAAAATTAACTCGTTAACTTATCGATAAGCTTTTCTAGCAAATTTGGTTAAACGCTTGATGGCGAAGACCTCAATTTTTGTTGAAAAAAGTCTAATTTTTTTTTTTTTTCTCAACTAATACCTACATATCTTAAAATTTAAAACAATTGTAAAAACTAAGGTATTTTCATAACTGAACCATTTTTTTAATAGAATTTTAGCCATTTTCATTATTTTTATACCCGAGCGCACTTGTGCACAAGGGTATATTAATTTTGTTCACATAACGGTTGCTTGTAACAGCCAGAACGAATCGAGATAGATATAGACAAATGTATACATAAATGATCAGAATTAAAAAAGAAATCGATTAAGCCATGTCTGTCTGTCCGTCCGTCTGTCCGTCTGTCCGTCCGTCCGTGTACACGATAACTCGAGCAAAAATTGAGATATCTCAACGAAATTTGGTATGTAGGTTTCTGTTAATCCAAGGTAGGTTGGTATTGAAAATGGGCGAAATCGGACAATAACCACGCCCACTTCCCATATAACGGTAATTTCCAGAAATACGAAAACTGCGATATTTTAGTAACTACTGAAAATAATTCACTCAAAATTGATATTTACAATAATTTTTAGATGAAAAATAAGAATATTATAAATTTTTGGAAAATGGGCGTAGCCACGCCCACTTATGGTTACATGTGTATATCTTGGTAACCGCTGCACCAATTTCTTCCAAACTTGGCACAGTTGTTAGCCTTCGCACAACATACCAAATGGCCGAAAATTTTTAAAATCGCTCAATAACCACGTCCACCTCCCATATAACGGTAATTTAGAGAAATACATAATCTTCGATAAATCAGTAAATATTGAAGCTAATTTATTCAAAATTGATGCTTGCAACAATTCTTTACCAAGAAATACGTTTATGGTAAAATTTTGGAAAATGGGCGTGGCACCGCCCACTTATGATCACATATAAGTATATCGGTAACCGTTCTACCAATTTGTACCAAACTCGGCGTGGTTATTGTGCTTGCCACATATAAGCAAAACGTTGAAAATTATTGAAATCGGACTAATCATATAACGGTAAATTTCAGAAATGCTTGAAACTTCAATATTTCGAAATTGAAGGATGCTAATTTACTCAAAATTGATACACCCCGGCTTACCATCTAGCGGATGGTTTCGGAAAGGGGAAAAAACATATATTTAATACTTGCGCCGGGTATTTAATGTTCGGCTCCGCCCGAACTTAGACTTTCTTACTTGTTTTGTATTGTAGTTAGTTCTTAATGCTGACTTTACACCAGACAACCATTGAAGCTATAAGGGCATGTTGCTTCGAGCATTGCCTCGTTGAATTTCATTTCGTCCGCCGTCGGTGTAGAGAGAGAGATTGCTTATTTATCGGCCACTCTGCCTCTCCCCCACTCTCTTCTGTATAGGATTTTTAGTAGTATGTTTTTGAAGCTGATACAGTCGGTACTTTGTCGTGGTTGTATTTCGTTGATGATCATTCGGCATCTTGCAGCAATCTCAACGGACATTCATTTACGGTCTCTAAGGAGAAAAACAACCCCAATGTTGAATCCTTGTCATGTTTAAAACTTTATTAGACTTCGTATTGAAAGGTTTTTGGGGTTGCTGATTAAGAATCTGAACTCAGTTCTTAAAAATTCAAAATGGCGGATAAATAAGACGGGTGTTTTTTTTAAATCATCAAATTTTTATGTAATTTGATATCCAAAGGTGCTTTGAGTGGCTGACTATAAAACTTAGTCCAAAAAATATACCCTAAAATCCATACACCATATTGTATCCGCCATTCTGAGTTTATAAGAATCGACTTCAGATTCAGACCCTTCTACATATACGAAGTTTAGTAATTTTTGGAAATTCGCATGGAATATTCTATTGGCCGATTCAACATAGGGGTTGTTAGGGACATATTTTTAAAGTCTGAGAGGTATTGTCGCAGACTGCAGTTATTTCAGTACATTATATTACCGTTGTTCGAGCGAAAACGATGATAGATACGCACATTTAATTTCGGAAAGTTACACCCTAATGTACATATGTTTATATAAATAGTAACTGAGTAACAATGAAAATTTGAATTTGGCTGCTGACTCTGGATAAAGTTTGTTATTAGTAATTTATCTGATACACGCCCCTTTCTGTGCAACTAACCTAATATTTAAACTTGCTGGAAACCCCGTAATATGCTGCTTAATACTAAGCATTAGCAGTTTAGTTAGTAATTTAAATACCATCTAAACAAGAAAGAAAGCAATCACAATAAAAGAAACTCACTGACTCAACTCAAGTGCAAGTTTAGCACTTTGATTATCGCTATTAGATGCTGTAGCAAAATAAAATTATTACGATGATGTAAGTAGATGGCTGAAACGCGTATCTTACTTTCTGAAAAATTTTACTAGTATTCTCTTTTATTTCACCATTTCGAATTGCTCGCTTTTATTATCTTAAGCCAAGCGTGCATTTTCGGTGTTGTTGCAACATCGCCGCAATTGCGTAATGTGGCCTTGAGTTCAGCTGAGGTAATTGAAAATTCAAATGCATTGACGCTGGCTACAATGCTGGCAAATCATTATGTGGTTTAAAGCTAAGCGTATTTGGAGTGCTCTTAAACTTACTAGGCAACAACCAGAGCAGTCAGCAGGCGCATGTTGCGCAACAAGCCACACGCTGCAGCGCGCTGTGGCAAAAAGCAGACACATCAGCCCCAGACTGTGCTATGTACACTACCACTATGGCGCTTAATGCAAATTGAAAATTCGCCACAGTTGCCCCACATTACAATACTTACCCACACACACACATACACACACACACACATACATATGAGCACACTCACTTCTACTACTACTACTACTGAGATACGTTTTTAAAAGCGCATTTTTACTATTCTCTCAAATGCAACGCTGATGAGCATATTTTCATGCAAAATCTAGAAACTGCATCCCTAACTCACAAACCAGCAGTAGTAAAGATGCAAATACTACAAACATACATTACTTTTACACACAAACGCACAACAAAACACAGTTTGTTATATGCATAATATTTCACCCTCAACATTACCATCACAACTGCAACAACTGCATTTAACGTTAAGTAGTTATGCGTTTTAGTATCCACATTTGCCCGCACTTGTGTTGGGTGGTAAAATTTTTATGCATTTCTTTTCCTTTCTTCTATTTCAGCGATGAAACCCTTGAGGCGCTTAGTGATGCTCAGGTTGTGGCACCGGCTGCACAAACCGTCGACCTACACTCAGCGGATCACCGAAATTCATATTTGTATGTCTTTGACTATCAGACCAGATATGGAGATTATCCTCAGGTAAGCATTATGTTATACTATTCGGAGGGTTTTATATCCGCTACAATGATAAGCACCGTTTACAAAAATACAAAATCACATTTTCCCGCTTTTTATAATCGAAACTGTATGGTGGAAACTGTGTTCTAATATCTATTTGATACACAAAAAATGATCGCGGCTGTATTTTTTGCTGATATATGACATACATATGTTCCATTTAGTTAAACAATATAAGAATATTGTAGTATTTACCACAAAAACGTATATTTTCTATAAAATATCATAACTCAGAACAAAAAATATTCGCTATTAGAGATTTGGGTTGATTGTAGTTCAAAGTGTCTCTTTCCCGGTAAAAAAGTTTGAGAGAAAAAAAATACACTTTTTGAGAAATTAAATTTAAAAAAAAATATGCACTTTTTGTTTATTGTTAAATAAACAATTTTAATAATGAAAATCAATAATTATATCATTCTATCTTGAAGTGACAAGAATTACTGACATTTGAGTAAAAACATTGTTGGAATCTTTTAAATTTTGACAAAGTTATGGGCATTTTAAAAAAACATTGTCACTGTCAATTCGAATAATCGATTTTTGCCTGAAAAACAAAATCGCGTTTAATTCGGCCGAAAAATTTTTCCGAGCCAAAAGAAAAAAATACGTGTCTCATTATTTGGACCAACAAACAATGTATTTGAGTTTGGTCGAAATTAAAAATCATGCTCGTACCTGACCGGTTGTCTGAAAATGGAAAGCATCTATGGAATTACAAAATTGGTCGAGATTAGCAGTCTACTTTTGTTCATTTTGTTCCATTTTGGTTTAAATCACCTGACCAATGGCATCACTGCTATTTTGACTTCAGTTTTTATCTGGCTAGCGGTGCGTTCCTAATATAAAGCGTTTCAAATAATTTTCCTCAACCAAAGCTATATAATATTTGGCGTCTTTATGTGTCCGCTTTTTTAACTTTCGATATTGTGTGATACATTTTAAAACCACCGACCTAAAAACATGGACTTTTAGACTTGTGATAAAGTTTTTCGAAAAATTAGCTACTTCGAATCGGTTAGAAAACAGCTATAAACGCATCATTCATTTGACGCGAAGTCAACAGCAGTTGGTTTTCTTTATACACTCCGTTTTAAATTTTTATGATAATATATTTGAATTATTGTTTGCTTATATTTTGATAAACTGCACTAATTAATTATAAGACCGATTTTTAATGAAGGAAGCAGATTTTGTTTATACATAGATATAAAGATTTCTCTAACGTGTTTTAATAAAACTTTTTTAAACTAGCCTAAAGTCGGATTAAAGGGATTGACAATAAAGTAAACTTTTAAAGAAAACAAAACAAAATAGTCGAGTTATATATAGCTTCTGCAAATGGTGGAAAAATTTATTTAGATGTTTTGTTGCATGTCTGCGAATAATCCCTTACCTAGCCGCCGTGCCCTCTCAAGCTGTGCTAGTCATTTTAAGCTTTGTTTCTATTTTTCCACACTTAAAAATTCTTCTATGCTCACATTTTCTATTACACATTTTTAAACTTCTTCGAGCGTAAACATCTTTCATATTTCTTCATTACCACAGCATGCAGTTTTTTTGCTAATAGGCATTTTGCTTGCCACAGAAATTCATAACTGCCGCATTGCAAAGATTTGTTTACAAGCGGTGGTTAGCAGGCAAACATGCTAACATGATTCTATGTACAAATCTACACACTTTTTAATATGCAAATGTATGTATATAGCTAAGGGCCATTTTCTCAAATAACCTGTAACTTTAAAGCTCACTTTATATTTAAAGATTGCATTAAAATTTATGATTGTGCCTAAAGTAAAGCATCTTATTATCCGTTTTAAATTGGTTTACTACCAAGAAACATACATACGCCAAAAACCGATAATAGCAATGCTTAACTTTAGACATAGCTTTATTTTGAATCCAACTTTTAAATATAAAGTGAGCTTTAAAGTAAAAGGTTACTTCAGAAAACGGCCCTAAGTGTCTTTATGTTAACAAATTGCACAACTTGCATGCAAAAAACAAGTCGAGAAGCATATTGACGCATGAATGCGCATACATACAAACATACTCGTACTTTAATATGAACATTAGTTTGTATACTTGCGATATATGGGCCAATGCGGTAAACATGCAAACAACTTATGTTGGCAATTATCTGCAATACCAGACGCTTGGAAAAAGGCTCAAGGCAAGCCAAGTGCATGAATGACACTAGAAGCCACCCTAGAGAGAGAGAGCCTAAGTCAAGTCAAAGCTAAAGTAAGGCAATCGGAGCTCTGAAGCATCATACCAGTCAAATAAATGGTACTGATGTGATCTGATGCGATGGCAAAGCGAAGCTCATCATAGGCACTCATGGGTTGGCAAATATGTATGTAGGTATAATAGGAATAGGTACATATACACATACGCATCGCACACCATCTGCAAGAGTGACACAACTCAAAATAGCACGTTCGTCATATGGGCAAGGGAGACTTTATTTTTGGTTTTTTTCTTCAACAAATTATAACACAAATTTTATCCAGCTTTTGCTTAAAGATAAATAAAATCTCTGCATACATTTTTAGCACATAATGACAAAAATGTCAAATTTAGAGTTGTGTGACTTTTGGAGATCGTGTGCGATATGTACTTATGTGAAAGATTATAGGTATGCAAAGTTGCATGCATATGTACGTGAACAGTACGCTTTAATATGTATTTTGGTATTTACCCTGCAGTAAGATGACGAACTGATCGATAAATACTCTAGCTGACTAACTGGTGTAACCGGACGTGAAGGCTGACTAGTTTATTAACTATTTTTAAACATACCGATGGTCCTCTGTAATAGTGAAACAACTCATAAATCAAAAAAAAAAAAAATCAACTACTACATAAGACGAATGGCAGGTTCCTCTGGTTGTAGGGGATTTCACAGAAGGAGGCGTTCCCACTCTCCATCCGATTGCGGGCTTATGGCAAGGATGACATTGGGCCACTCCACCAGCTCCTTTTCATCCTGATTTCCAGGGTTGTTGCCACATGTCTCGAGAAGCCTGAGGCGGCTCTCCGCTTCCGTTGCCCCTTCACGGCCGGACGAACATTTTTCCTAGCCCTGGAACAGCTGGGGGAAGGATTTGATGCCGCAGCCCTTTGAGACTTAAGGACTCCTCGCTTGGCGTTAGGCTCATTCGCTGCCGTGGCCGCAATGGGCTCATTAGTGCTGGGTGCCTTCATAGCCGCTCGTACTGTTAAACTACCATCCGGGGGTTTGTCCACAGCCGCCTTGGACATGGAGGACCGACAAGCTATTTCTACTGGCAGTTCAGGCCTGCTCTGCTCCTCAGTATTCGGTACATTTGGTCCGCGAGGGATACGTTTGAGTCGTTGATAATAGCGGAGGGACTTTGAGGCTTGCCCGAAGAAGTTGGCCGTGAAGGCCCCCTTGGAACCGCAAATCAATCAATCAATCAATCAACCCGTTAGAAAACAGTAGAAAAGGCTCCTTTATGCAAATCATCCAATGGGCACGGTGACGCGTGACACCTTGGATTAGGAGGAGAGGATAGAATCGACACACTCTGGGATATATTCATAGTGTTCTGCGGAAACAGAGACACCTCTTAAAGGAAGCGATAACTCGCACCAAGGTCTGTATTGGGGAGTGGCTTGACACACAGCATAATCTAAATATGTGCTGTGTTACATTTCATCCACACCCTGTTATTCACTCGACCCCAACGAACAATGTTAGTCCTTTCAAAAATCGTCAAAATATTAATTAGATCTTGGGAAAAAAACCATATGACAGTCCTCCTCAGGAAAGCGATTCGTACGAAATGCCTGGTTTGATGAAACCCATAGTAACCTCAGCCATTTACTTTATTTTCACAACTTTTCTTCGAAATGGATGATTCTTCAAAATGCCTACAGGGTGTCCACAATTCGAGATACTGAAGCTCGGATATTGAAGAAAAAGTGTGCCTATTCAAGTGAATGTGGGTATCTATAGTTGAGTTTTAAACCAAACTTTCGAGCTGTTGAGTACTAGTAGCTTTCACTGTGTGGAATTTACGTAAATGCATTCCAAGTATACGATATATTTACATACTGTATGTACATATGTATTCTACAAACATATATATTTCCAAACACATTCAGATGTAGCCATTTGTAAGGGCTCACTGCTTCATGGCTACCACGTTCGTATGAGTAATCATACATACTAATTTCAACGTATGTGTGCATCTATTTGCTATGGTAGTTTCACAGCGTTTCTGTATTTTTCAGAAACACAAGAACGTATGTAAGCATGTTTGAATATAAATTTTCAGTCGAGAATTGCAATTTAATACCAGCTGTCAATAGAGAAAAGTGGCAATAATAATTGGGGGAGTAGCACTCTTCATTCTGTCTGTCGTTGCAGCAATCAGTGCACTAAGCCTGCCAGTTATTGATCAGCCATACAATCAATCACTAAAAACGTCAATATGTCATTTAGTTCGTTAGTTAGCTGCACAAGTTTCGTTTTTCTGACGGTTCGTTGGTTGGCAGTTCGGTAAGCGTGTTTTGTGGTGAACGGCCTTTTTGGCTTATTTTTGATAATTTGGTAATGATCTTTGGCAACTGCTGATTTATTGTATATACCTAGGCTTGTATGTACCTTCCATTCATCCTTTCGGAAGAACAGTCCTCCTTTGCCACGAAATGCTTTCCGTCGTCCCCAACAAGTAAAAAGTCCTCCTTAAAAGCTGGACACTCCTTTTTTATTATTTACTGTTTAGAAATGAAGTTAGTAAATTACTTTCGAAAATAGAAAATATAAAAGAGAAATCTTAAACTGACAACCATTTCAACAAACTGGCACTACCATAGCTTAATCAATGGTTCGATTTTACTGAAAAGTGTTGGTTAACAAAAATTTCGAAATTTTCTTTAAATTCCCAATATTTCTACTTTCGATGAATTGGAAGAAAAGTTGCCTTATTTAAAGGATATTTAAGATAATCTAAACATATAAGTAAACTCTTTCAGTTTTTTCCAAGCAGTACAAACTTGAAGAAAAAAATATCTTACCTCTTTTGCATTCCATGCAGTAGTGCATTTGCCGAAAGTCCTTTTTCGAACATGTATGCAAAGTGTGGTGGGAAAATAAGTCGGTGCTCTACTAAATTAATAAGAAGCGAGTTAAAAATCTTTATATAAATACGCCACAAGAAAATTTTGCAAGCCCTTTTCTGAAGGCACCGTTCGCTTGATTTCAATTAAACATACACATATAACTTCCTCTAATCCAGAAATGTTAATCCCGATACATAGGAGGCGTGACATCTGACATATAGACTAAAATGTGAAAACCACTATATCTCTAAAGCCAATTACTGAAACTGAAACTTAGCACAAATTCACAGATTGTAAATACCTTACTTTCGGCGAAAAGTGGTAGATTTTGGAAAACGGGGCGTGGCACCTCCCATACAAACTGAAATTCTCCTATCGCTTTTCTCTGCAACCGCTTTAGGATAACGTCCTGAAATTTGACACAGCAACATGTGTTATCATTACCGAACTTATAGCGAAAAGTGATGTGTACTCGGAATGGGGATGAGGCACCTCGCATACAAAATTCAATTTCCATATCGCTTATATCTGGGAGCACCTATGAGAAGGTAATAGAATTTGATACACCTATATCTATATATGTACATATAAAATGGCAAGAATAATTCAATTGGAACCATTTTCTACCAGATTTCGAAATCGCGTTGAATGATTGTTATTTTGTGTAATAATTTTTGAAAGGCTCAGTGTGTTTGTCTTCCGTTAGGTGTCGCAGGGATTGAGGGTAGAGATAGGCATGGCACTTAATATTAAGTCCCGATCCCGCCCATTCCTAAATTAAATTTTTAGCTTCCGAACCCACTCATCCCGACATTTTTTCATAACTTACCGCGGGCCCGGGGGCCCCGAGATCTATCTCTAAAAAATTTCGCATGTCTTTCAAATTAATTTTAAATAAAAAAAAAATTGTATGAAAGATCTGGCTTTCACCGATTATTTTTTTTGCTGCGCTGTTCGTTATCGTCTCAATTAAACATAAAACGTGCATATTTCATAAACATTTTTTAAAGAAGATTTTCTTTGCTGAGGTTGCGGTTTTATCGAGAGTATCTGGAAAGAATTTTGGTCCCATTCCGTCCGTAAAATTTTTCCCAGACCTTCCTGTTCCTGTGTTCTGTGGGTCCCGATATCCCGTGCCCATCTCTATTTGAGAGATATCCATAAAATTTATGGTCAGATTTGCTTCATCTTTAGAACCCGTATAAAACCGCCGTTAGATAAGGAATTATTATATTTTATTTACACCTTCGAGGTACCTAATCTCCATTGATTATGATGAAAAGAAAGAGGAGTTTATGCACATATTGGCAATTTAATTTTAACCTTTCAAGGAGCTCCTCGGATCAGTATAATTGAGGTTCCTCTCTTGGCATAATTTCGAAAGTTACCAAGAAATTTGGTTTTAAGTTTTCCTATAAATTCGCTATAAATTTTGGTGGTAGATATTATATACATATCGTTATTTTAATACAGAAAGGTCCTATCTCACATACATATGTAGTCGCTGAAATGTAAAAAGCCGTTACTAATTAAAAATCGAAATTTCCCGTTTTCATTGATTGTGATGCACTTCATCGGATTACAAGTCCCCGCATCATTTTAAGCTCCAACCCATTTATGAAATAAATGTTGGAGATGACTCTCGATTTTTTTAAATGCAATCTAATTATATTAATTATCATGCAAAGCAAAAAAATTAAACCTTATTGGCACCCAAAATGTCCTTGCTATGTTTTCGACGTATAACTACTATTTTTTCTTATTACATTTCATTCTCCATTTCAGCGCCAAGGCTGCATACATGGCGAAGACCTGCCCTATATATTCGGTGCACCACTGGTTGGTGGCTTCAGCCATTTTACACGAAATTACACGAAAACCGAAATAAATCTCTCCGAAATTGTAATGCTATATTGGTCGAATTTCGTGCGAACTGGGTGAGTAAAAGAGCAATAAAATACATTCAATATATTTACCTATAAACATACAAATCACAAAGAGCGCTTGGATGAGGATCAAACCAAATGAATTTTGCGCACATCGAAATTAGAAAATGTCAAAATCCATTTGTTGTTTTTCCTTTGAAACTCCGCATAAAATGTCTTTGAGCACCACAAATAAAAAATAGTTTTATTATTCCAAAATACTAGTTTTAAAATTTTGTTTGTCCTGTCCTAATTAAAAAAAATAATAATAATAATCATTCGAATTTTGTTCATAATCTTTCTCTTAGCAATCCAAATGAGCAAATGGAAGGCGATCATCCGAATAGTCGACAAGAGCGCAGTCGTTACAAGACAATCGAGTGGACTGCATATGAGAGCGTGCATAAAAAATATTTGAATTTCGGTAAGTTTAGAGGCGAAGTCATTTTACTAACACACAGTCCAAATTTTCAATTTGGGTAATGGTTTTTGGTGCCAGTATGTTTCGTTTGAAATAAAGCAGAGATAAACAGCAAACCTTTTATCAGAAAAAAAATGAAAATTATATTAAAAGGAATTTTTATATTCTGAATTGCCAGCGTCAATAAACTATTGGCCTTTTTTGTATAAAAGATCCTTAGAAGTAAAAATACTTCACAAAAATAAAGGAGAGCTTATCAACAACCAACTAGTTATTACAATCACGCAACAATGCCGAAAAAATCCAAAAATCTCGAAACCACCAGAAAAATTTCGAAAATGCTGAAATATTCTCAAAATCTTCGAAAAATAGTCCATGAAAAAACACAAAGCAAAATCCCAAAAAAAATATTTTTAATACTTTCAAAAATGTCCTGAAGAAGTCATGAAGTGTTCCAAGAACCTCGAAACCTAACGAAATTCAGAAAAGTACAGAAACATCTCGAAAAAATTACGATAGCTCCAAAAACTTTCGAAAGATCCAAAATATAAAACAAAAGGACTCGCGAAAGTTTCAAAAAAAAAAATTATGCACGCAAAAAGTCTACAAAAAGTTTCAACGAATTCTGAAGGAATTTTCAAGGAACCCAAAAAGTCTTGAAATGTCAAGAAAATCAAAATCCCTAATAAGAAAAAAGTGCTGTAGAAAAGTGCGGAAATATTACTGAAATATTCCAAAAATATATATCGAACGAATATTCGAAAACACTGAAACAATTAGAAAGGTTCAAAAATTATCCAACTATCCTGAAAAATAAAGCAAAGAAATAAAAAAAAAACATACTCAAAAGTTCTTAACAAAAAAACACGGAAAAATCCTGAAAGGTTTCGAAAGAATCCAGAAAAATGTTCCAATAAATCTCAAAATACCTGGAAAAATAAAACAAGAAAGGTCTTGTTAGCTCCCGAAGAAATTTGGAAATGTAAAAAAATATAAAAAAAATGAAAACAGTGAAAAATTCGGAAAAATAAGGTACGAAACAATCCAGAAATGTCGGGAGAAAATCCGGAAAAAGTTTTGAAGGTTCAAAAATCTCTCGAAAGATTCCAAAAAAAATTCAACAGAAATGAATTGTCTATAAGAGTCCCAAAAAATAATAAATAAAAAAAAATCAGCTAGAAAAGTCCAAAAAATTTAAGAAGTATTTATACCTAAAAAATATTTAAAAGTGCAGAAAAGTATTGAACAAATTCGCTGCGTATACAAAAAAAAAATCCCAAAGTTAGAAAAAATCCCGAAAAAACGAAAAAACGACCGAAAACTTCCCAAGAAAATAAAAATCGGAAAATCCTTAAAAATTGTGACAAATTACCAATGAGCCAAAAAAATACTCGAAAGATCCCGAACAGTAAAACAGAAAAAAAGTCCCGAATAATTACGGACAAATCCTGTTAAATTCCGAAGATATAAAAAACTTGCGTAGATTCGGAAAAATATAAGAGTAAAAGATGCGGAAAAGTTGGCAAAATAATAAAACCTCCAAAAAATAAAACACGACTAAGGTAGTAGAAGTTCCGAAAAAATTTTCCGAAAATACACTAAAAAGCCTTCGGAAATTTTGAGATACCTCGAAGAAACGTTTAAAATTAAAAGAGCAAGGACATATCATACCATCCTAAAAAATGTCGCTAGTTACAGATTAAAAATATAGACAGCTATATTTGTGAAGTGCTTAGCATTCTTGTGCGGACATATAAATATTTTGACAAAAATCCCAATATAAATAAAACATATGTATCTACATATACATATGTATATATATTAAGGACCATCACTAGAAAAAAATATTAATTTCCTCTATATCTACTAAATACATACCTTCGATATTTTTAAAAATAAAAAAATTTATTCAAGATTATTCATTGTTTTTAGTTTTATCCTCGGCTCCATCAGCAATCACTTTGTAAATAGTTTACAAACCCACGCTTCTTTTCGTTTCAGATACAAAACCAAAGCTTAAAAATCACTATCGCGCGCATCGCTTATCCTTCTGGTTGAATCTCATTCCCGACCTGCATAAGCCAGGCGGTGATAACGTGCCTGCCGCACATCATCAACTACTCGACGATTCAGATGATGAAGTGGACAATAATATTGCAAGCGACGCAACGATAAAACCACTTAACCCACCCTATTCACCGCATGCCGGCACTGCTGCACTTGGCAACTTCACGCTTTTCACCAATCAAGTATTCTCGCTGCTCAATCTCTCATCGCCCTCATCGGCACGCAACGCTTCGCGTTATGGTGGCAAAATATACGCAGGCGATGACGCTGGCGAAGCGCATGCGGCGGGCAGTGGAGCGCCACCCGATGCACAAGACGGCTTTGCGGCCTACTCAACAGCCTTGAGCGTGACAATAGCCATCGGTTGTTCACTGCTCATACTCAACGTGCTCATATTTGCAGGTGTTTACTATCAACGCGACAAGACACGCCTTAGTGAACCGCGCGCACAAACAAAACTGAAGCGGCAGGAAAACGGACAAATGCCAAATAATATCTGCGGGGATCTCGAAACGCTTACTATACACACAAAAAGTGATCCGGCAACAATACTCTCACATCATCATGCGCTGCAACATCAACACCAATTGCCGCCACCCGAATTTGCGGACATACCACATCGTGCGCCGCCACCACCGAAGCATTTGAAGTCGCTGCAGGATGCGGCTGGTGGCATGAATGCGGGTGGCGCACTCAATGCGACGGGCAGCGGCATGGGTGGTGGTGGAATTATTGCTGCTAGTATGAGTGGCAGCAATGGGGCGGGTGGTGGAAGTGGTGGCGGTGGTGGTGGTGGTGGTGGTGCTGGTGGTATAGGACCAGGTAGTAGTGGGAGCAGCGTTAGTGGCGGTGGCGCTGGCAATATGATGGGTCTCATGCCACCGCCACATGCACTCCAAGTAATGGGCAATCAGTGTGGTACACTAACTAAGAAGAGTTGTATGAAACAAACGCAACAACAGCAACAACAACAAATGATTGTTACGCATCAGCAACATTTGCAGAATCATCATAATCAGAGTATGACGACGGCGTTGATGGGTGGAGGAGGTGGTGGTGGCGGTGGCGGTGGCATCAGCGGCCCACCACCCCCTTCAGTATCAAGCGCTCAGGCGCATCCACATGCACATGCGCAGCAGCAACAGCAACAGCACCATCAGCAGCAGCAGCAACACCAACAACAACAGCAAGCACAACTACAACAAACCCAACAACATCCGCTAATGGATGAATTGCGAGTGTGACATTAATTGACGGTGCGTTTCAAATGTGATCTCTAGCGGTGATTAAATGAATGTGAATGTGATTGTGATTGTAATGACGATAGCGGTGATGATGATGATGATGATGGTGATGATGACGATGA